TACGCTCGGTTCGCAACAAACAACTGCACCTCCCAGTCGCGAACCATTTCAACTCCCCCTCCCATTCCTCAGACGACATGTCCATCCTGGGCCTCCTGCAGTGCCACAACGATGCCACCCGAAGGTTGCAGGAACAGCAACTCATATTCCGCTTGGGAACCCTGCAGCCCAATGGTATCAATGTGGATTTCACAAGTTTCAAAATCTCCCCTCCCCCCACCGCATCCCAAAACCAGTCCAACTCGTCCCTGCCTCCCTAACCTGTTCTTCCTCCCACCTATCCCCTCCTCCCACCTCAAGCTGCACCTCCATCTCCTACCGACCAACCTCATCCCGCCCCCTTGACCTGTCCGTCCTCCCTGGACTGACCTATCCCCTTCCTAACTCCCTACCTACACTCACCTTTCCTGGCCCCATCCCCGCCTCTTCGACCTGTTTGTTTCCTCTCCACCTATCCTCTCCTCTATCCCTCTTCTATCCACCTCCCACTCTCTCCCTATTTATTTCAAAACCCCCTCCCCTCCCCCTTTTCTGATGAAAGGTCTAGGCCCGAAACGTCAGCCTCTCTGCTCCTATGATGCTGCTTGGCCTGCTGTGTTCATCCAGCCCTGCACCTTGTTGTCTCCTGGCAACTCCTGCCGCTTGCGTTCTGTCTCCTAGCAACGATAGCCGGGCAGGAGCTGTCCGCTGGCAGTGGTGCTGATGGGACGGAGACTCCGGGAGAGTCACTTCTCCTGCGGTCACGCTGCAAACACCATCCACACAAACACAACGAAAATCCCGCATTTCTGCGGCAGCCAGCAGGCTTCAGGCATCGAGCTTCACGAGAAGCTGCAAATGCAAACAAAAAGGAAATAGTCTTTGATTTAATGGAGATCTCATCCGGAGGGCTGTAATGTAAATCAAGCACCTCAGCAGAAAGTTCGCTGCCTTACGTTCAGGAGCACTTTGTTTGAAAGGGAATTTCGTTCCCGAAAGCATTAAAGCTGCTATCGGAATATTTTCCGTCGATTTGGCGGAAGTAGGTTTTTATCTGTCACTGCGTGCGTGGAACCTAGGGACGAAAATCTTCCTCTCTGCACGACCAGAATGGGCTGTCCTGGTAAGAAATGAATATAACAGCAGAGTTCGCTCTGCGCCTTTTTATGCCAATCTGATAGGCAGACTTTAAACTGCTGTTGATTTGTCACGGATTTTTGTGGATATTCCGTCAGTTTTCGGATTTATCCAATTTTAACCCCCTTAAATATACCTTGCTGACGATGCATACCCCCCACTTTACCCTAATGTTTTATCCCATTTTGAAAATCTAGCCCAGGTTTCATAATGCTGTGGTGGCAACAAGAATCTCATAAATATCCGAGCACACGACCAGGAGCTCAATATGTTTTTAATACGCATCTGCTTGAATCCTGCCCAATGCCAAATGCATCAGACAATGTTCCAGGGCTTTCAATGAAACCTTCAACATTTTATGCATCAGGCTCCCTTTGTTACCTTTGCAAGTGTCTCTCAGCATCTTAAACTTATCCACTTACCTAATTGTCAGGGACAGTTCCCTCCCCATAACTGAAAACCCTGCTCCCGCCTTAAAAGCTAGTGAGTGATTTCCATTGGGTTCAGGCAGAAGTCTGAAATGAACATGAAAGACTTTAACTCCCAGACCTCATATGTGTAAATTTGCCAATTGATCCAATCCCTGTAAACTATGCATGAAGTTAAAGTTAAATCTGGGGCTGAACATTTAGCTGGTGGATTTGCATGCTGAAAACAGAATGCATTTATTTCTTTCACAGTTGGAGTATATGAAAATAATGGTAGGAAAACACCAGCTGTTGAAACGATCAACCCTGTCCCTAATTCTTAAGTTTAATGGAGAATTGTGATTAGAAATTTTTTATCCAGCAGAAGGCATGTAATCCACCAGAAAAGGCAAGAAAAAGAAAGTAAACATGACCAACCAGGGAAAAAATCTGGATAATCCTTTTCTAGCTCTCCCCACCTCCCAACACAGATGATCAAAACCAGTGCATATGATCACATTGACAATGATTTTATTAACTTTCAAATTGCTTACCTTTCCATGTTTGGTAGATGTCTGTGAAATTCTTAGCAAAGTTGTTTTTTCTCTGAAACGAAAAGAGAATTTGCTGGAAAATCTAAGAAGTTCTGAAAAAGGATCACTGGACCCAAAATGTTAACTTTGCTTTCTCTCAACACATGTTGCCAGACCTGCGGAGATTTTCCACAATTTTTGTTTTTATTTCTGATTTTCAGTGGTGAAGTTGGAGAATCTAAACCACTCCTTTTTGTATTTTGCAGTAACCTGACTGCCATCTGCCCAGTGGAGAGTGACCAGACTGTGCCACCAATGCCTGATGAAGAAGCCTCTGAAGATCAAGTGCTGGCAGCAGTTGAGACCAGCCCCTCTCAACAGGTAAGAGTTCAACTGGGTAAATATTACAATTGCCCAAAATGTACAGGATCATAGCATTACTCTGAAAGAAACAATCCCATAGTGAAAAGAATTGTGTAGATAAACTCTTTTTTTCAGATTTGTTAGTAAATCTCCTGTGATGTATCTTACAGTAAATCAGAGAATATCATGTTTTCTAAAGGAGAGGGGAATTATACAAAGCAACACATAAATGATATGATATACAAATCACATCCAAACTTCAAAACTACATACCAGGTGCTCAAAATTTGTATATATCAATTCATCTCAAACAAAAAAGAAATTTGACATAAACTAGTTTTGTGCAGATAGCAGAAAATCAATCATTCATATATTTCATTATTCACATTTTTATTTTTCAATGAAGGAAGAGGAGATTTTGAACAGTGAGTTGGAAGAAGGAGGTGAGTGCTTCAAATGCATCTGCATTTTGTTGGAAAGGGTTGTTGGGATTATATTAATGCTTTATTTATGGTTTTTAGAGCTACTTGGTTATTCAGATACTGTGAAGGAAGATTTTCTCTGTATGATGTGGCTAATGTTCTTTACAAATGGACTCTGAATTTGACTGCATCTAATGTATAGATAAATCTTTCCTTCCGTTATCTCACCTTGACATTGAGAAAAAAGGCAAGGGTACTTTTAAAAACTTTTAAAAGATCATTTATGTAATCACAATGTGAATACTGCGTACTGTTCAAGTGATTCTTCTTAGATTTTTGAAGTTATTTTCAGTATTGGAAGTTGTATTATTGACATGGCGTACTGGATACTCTTATTAAGGTGGTTATTTTCTGATAAACTCACCATCTGCTTTATTAATAAAACTCCATCAGGTTACCATTCTTAAATATACTTTATAATGCAAGGAAAAAATAAACAATTACATTTTACAATGCTGCCCTGGTGCAGTGGCTAAGAAAGATTTTACATTTATGATTTTTATATTAAGTTGAGTAGAAACATGAACCAAAACTTCATCTCTGAAAACAAGTGTAATTTTGGGCACTACCTGGATAGCTAATTGTGCCCAAGACACAAACATTATCTTCTGATCTACAATACTTCATTTGAAATTCAATTGACATTCAGATCTGTCATATTTATGTATATCTGTTTCAGTTACTATAATTATATGAGTGGAACTCTGTTTAAGCTCTAACTCCACAGATGTAAAGGTGTTAACATCACTGTGACAATTTTGTGTATTTAAATCTTTTCTGTAGCATATTGTCCAGCAAAGAGAAGGTCAATGTTTCCTTGGTTGTAAAGTGTATAAACATTCACTATAAATAAACTGCTTTAAAGAACATAAAATCAGTATGACAGGAGGAAGAGCAATGCAACATGTTTGAGCACTATTTGCATCAAGATTACAAAATATATAAATTTGCAAAACATAATTATAGGAAGATTTTATAACTCCAGTATCAAGGGTGCAGACACAGCATAGAATAAATAGAACAAAAGTATGTAAGAGTATACCATATTGTGTGCAGGACATTTACTGCTGAGCTGTATGATACAACCTACATTGAAGTACACAGTACAGTCTGAAATACAAATATACAGTAGATTTCATGATGGAGTGAGTGATACAGGGCACTAGTCTCTGTACATTAGTGGAAAAAGTGATGGGAGCGGGAAGAGACCCAACAGCTTATCATTTGTCACACAAGTTGAGGTGGGTCAAGTGAGTAGGCACCAGGAATACCAAACTAGTGCCAAAGAGCTAAACCTCAGCCTTAAATGTTTCTGCATGAACTCAAAATCTCAGTAATGATTTCAGCTCTGTAAGGACTTGTTTACATGGCTATGACTGGAGTCCGCCAGTTTATGGGCCTGTAATAAGTTTTTAAAGTGGTTTTATAAGGGCCGATTGTTTATTTGGGCAGGATTAGGATTAGTAGATAGGAATTAATATTGAGTTCAACATCTTCAAATTGTGAACCCACTCCCATTCCTTCCCTTTCTTTTAGCTTCACTTGTTATATTCTCTGTCGCCATGTCGTCTCTCCCCTCCCCACACCTCAGTGAGACAGTCTGTTCTTTCCAGACTGGCAGTTAGACACACGTTGTTCTACCATTCTCACATTCCGATCACTTAATCTGAACTATCAACATCTTTCTCTGCCAGCATTCCACCCTCCAACTTAAATGCTGCCACCCTCCACAGTTCACATCAGCTCCGATGAAGAGTCATCTAGACTCAAAACGTTAGCTTGTTCCCTCTCCATGGATGCTGCCTCACTCACTGTGATCTCCCAGAATTTTTTGTTTTTTAGTGAATTAAAGCTTCTTTTCAATGGGAACATGAATCTTTTTGTTTGACTAACAGTTTTATAAGCTCAAAAGAGGGAACATTTTCCTTTAAAGGGAATTTTAACAGTTTAACTGTTCAAAAAAAATTCAGGAGCATTCCAAAGATTTGCCAGTGTTATCATAAAGTTTATGAGCTGGATACTGGGTGAATGGCTAAGTGGGAAATGAGGTATTGGAGGTGTGAGAAATATGGAGCAGATATGGGGATGGGTGGTGAGTGGGGTTGATGTGGTGAAGGCCAAAAAGACTAACAATCATAAATAAAACTAGATCCATATCCTAATAATCAGAGACAAAATTTGTGTGTGAATGGGCTGACTTTTGAAGCGCGAAATCAGTGTAGCTTTGGATGAGATGTGTAGAGGAGTCTTAAATACAGTGCATAGGATATGTGATGAGTATGTCATAACTGTATATTGTGGTATAGCCAGTATTGATCTATATACAGTTCTGTAGTCTAGGCTGTATAATTTAGACTCTTTGGACTCAATACTTAAATCTGTTTTTGCTTTTTAGTTACAGATGCTCACCCTCCTTACTGCTCGAGTCATATTTCTACATGTGCCTAGTAACTGCTATCATGCCTAAACGAAGTAAAGACTTAGAGTTAGTCCATCTTGTTCGTGACATGCCGCTGACACCCAGAAGTTCCACCCCTAATTCCCAGTATGCTTTAGATTTACCCAATGTGCCCAGCTACTGCAGTTCCAGCTCTCGGTTATCTCCAGTTAGCCATAGGAAACAAGCATCTGGGGTCATAAACCCTAACTTCTTGACTAAGGAATGGTCTCCATTGCATCGTATAGGTGAACATAATGTCCATTATGTTTTGTGATTGCTTTATGTTTTGTAATTTGTGTATCAGTCTGTTTGTTCTGAGTGAATGTCTGTTATTGTATATTTTAAGACCTGTCTGTGTATAGTTTCAATCTTATTTATGTAAAGCAGTTACAGTCGGTGTCTTAAATGCTTTCACAAAATAATCTTTGGACTACTTGTATTCAATTCGGTGCCCCCTACTGACCTCCATTAATTTCCCTGAAACTTGAAGTCCAATGGTTTAGCATTCACCTCAGATATTTCTGGAGGATTAAATTACTTCACATTGCAGGAACAAGATTTACAAAAGCAGATTTAAATAAGAACAAAGGAGCAGGATTAGCCCCTTGCAAGCCTGCTTCACCATTCAATTAGATCATGAATGCCAAGTATCTGAACTCCAACTATCTGTCTTTGTTCCGTAACTCATTAATGCCTTTGGCTAACAAAAACCTATCAAATTCAGTTTTGAAATTTTCAATTGACTACTTGCCTCAGCAACTTTTAAGGGGAAATACACTTCTGGTTTTCGGCTACCCTCTTTTGAGAAGAAATGCTTCCTGAAATCATCTCTGAACAGTCTGGTTCTAATTTTAAGGTTATGTCCTCTTTCTCTGGACTCTCACTCACCAGAGGAAGTGGTTTCTATCTGCCATATCAACTCTTTTAATCATCTTATACGTTGATGAGATCACTCTAACATTTCTATATTTAAGTGTGTACATACCTGTCCTCATTATTTAAGCCTTTAGCCTCTCAGAAATCTCTGCAAAACTGTGAATCTATTCAAGAAAATGACCATGCATCATTGGCTTTAATTTTCTGACAAACAAATCTTACACCACAATAGTTTTGCACCATGCCTGGATGACATGATAGCAGGAAATCCTTATTGACTGAGAAGCAGAGGTTGGAAGATATTTAGAGTGATGGATGCTTTACCACCTCACACTTTGCTCTCGCACCAGCTCAATAAGTTAATTATGTATCCACTTCACTTTTTACTTTTTTTCCAGCATTTGACAGGAGTGTTTATTTCATTACTGTCCCACTTTCCTTTGGTACCAAATAAAGATGCCACAAACAGAAATCGAAAATAAAAACAAAAAAATTGGAATATATGCAACATCTCAAGAGAAGTCTGCGGACAGAGAAATGAAATGAATGGATCTGAATGGAGAAAGTGCAAAAGAGATCAAAACAGTTGAAGAACCGGGTTAGGCTAGCATGAAAAGATACTGCCAAACTTAACAGCATAATTTCATTGTCACTTTTGCTTCATTTCACACCTGAACAAGCTGAAAGCCTGACCAGTTTCTAAGAGGGAAAACAATGGCAGAAGACCTTAATGTGGAAGCGTCGGTGCTCGACTGGGGTGGACAAAGTCAGAGGTCACACGACACCAGGTTATGGACCAACGGGTTTATTTGAAGTCACAAGCTTTTGGAGCATTGGCCCTTTGTCAGGTGAGATGAGGGAGAAGCACACGGAACACAAAATTTATGGGCAGAGAGATCAAAAGATCAAAAGATTACTTATTACTTTGGATAGACCCTCATCATATGACTCTTATACCTATCATGCTATTCCAGTCATTTAGTTTGTCACCAGCACCACCTTATTTTTAATTTTTTGTAATTATCTCCCTGCATGATTTAATTGGATTATAGGTCATCCCTACCCTTGTTATTAAACTGCTGACGCTTTACTGACACTGTTTAACACTTTTGATCACCTGAAGAAACCTATTATTCAACACTTTACTCACACCATTTGAATGATCTTTTGATCTCTCTGCCCATAAATTCTGTGCTCTGAGTGCTTCTCTCTCACTTCACCTGAAGAAGGGGCTACACCCCAAAAGCTTGTGATTTCAAATAAACCTGTTGGAGTATAACCTGGTATCATGTGACTTCTGGCAGAATGCCTTAGGCAGTTCCCCATTGTAAAGCTAAAATAATGAGTTACCATTGCAAAATCACAACATTTATAATGAGAACATACATACTAGACATAGAGTTCTTAAACTGCAGTTAACTAAAGATTATTACCCAGACGTCTTCTGTAGTATGAAGATTAAATTAAGTACTGGCTTTGAATCCCTCCAGAATTTTTAGTATAATGTTAATAAGTTGAGGCCACCATATTTATACCAGTCTGGTCAGTTCCACAATGTCACACTCCCAGAATAAATTATCTTCACAGACTTGTATTTTGGGGGTGGAGTGACTGAATACCCATACTGGAATAAGTAT